CCAACCAACACCATGATCATCCAGTTGCGGAGGAGTGATGGGAAAAGGTGTTAGAATGCAGACAATTCTCGAAAGCCCAGTGGTAGGGTCACCGTTTGTGGCGCGAACCGAAAGGAGAGACATTGAAGTTGTCTGAAGCCGTTCCTGAAGCCTTTTCGTTTGCTCGGTGTGATTCGGCGTCGATGATGCGGCCTCTAATTTGATTTAAATCTATTTACTTCTTGTTTCTAGTAGCTTCTTGCTCCTAGTTGTATGGCCAGGAGCCCCTAGTAGCTTCTTGCTCCCCCCGCGCCGATCATCATATCAAATCAAGTCTCATTGCCCAAATTCTGCTGTGCATCAGTCAGGTCGGGACCATCAAGTGTAGGAATCTTTATCAGGTGCCTCCAGGTGCCTCCAATATTATCATAAACAAAAAAACAAACAAATCTTGCAGTTGAGAACTTGACATCAACCCAGCCATCCACTCCAATAGTCCACTGCATCTTGCAGTGTCGACGCCCATCTCCAGATGCTAGCACTGCAATTCAAAGAGCCAAAAAAAGGTCCGTAACTTGTCCCAAGAGGTACCCAAAACTCAAAAGGCTGGCTTTCGCTTCGCTGAAGTAAGTCTGTTCCTTTTACAGTCCGATGCATGTTGTGAGAGCTATCAATCGCTTGCGGAGTTCACCCGATGAAAGGTTCAAAACGCAGTGGGTGAAAGATGTTAAGAGGAAACATGAGGGGAAAAACATGTGTTTTCAAATCAACAACAATTTAACAAACACCATTCAACACCCAACATCGATGCAATTCGGTGCCCCGCCATCACCCCTTGTGCTCTGCGACCGAAATGCAAAGCCTCTGGCTTCCTCGCTTTGTCCTTAGAATCAGGCAATCTCAACATGAGTTCTTCTGCATCCCTGAGCGCACTGCATGGCTGGACTAGTTGAAGGTCTTGTGAGTCTTGTGTTGATCGTCACTTCAGCATATTGCTGCTATTGGCTATTCTTCTTCTTGTTAAACGAATGAATTTCTACAATTACGCCAGTGAAAAACCTTCAAGTAAAAGGCTCGAGCCCCAACATGTGCAACTGAATTGAACATCAAAATGACCTCAACATCTTCTGGAAGCATCTTGAGCTGGGTAATGTTGTCCTGTTGAGCAAGACTTCTTTATCAGGTTCCTGCTTGAGTCCAGGACAAAATTGTGCAGTTTGTTTAAAATGTGGGCCATTAGGATCCTTTAGAGGTCTAGTCTCAATCAAGATGTCTTCCGTCTCAAATCTCTTCTCTCCCGTCCTGGGCTGATGGTTTTTTGTTTAAAACATTGGGTGGCGCACGCGAGTTCATTGCCAAGCATCCGAAAATGCTCATATTGGGACACAAGATAGACTGCGCAGGAAGGGAATTGCGAGAATAGCGGCCCAATTCCTCCGCTGTGGAAAAGCATCCCCATCGGCAAGCCCATCACTTGAAAGGCCAATGATAGGGTGGACTGCCAGTCACAGCTTCGACATGCAATTGTGCTTCTACTGTGTTGCTGCTCTCGAACATCTCGACCTGGTCCACCCATGTCGAAACTGTGAACAGGCGCTGATGCCTGCACAGCTTCCCCTGCAAGGAAGGGAGGTGCCGCAATGCAATTTCCAGTTGTCTCTTGACTCCGGATCATTCAGATATTGTTCGGCTTTCCGCTGACTGGGTCGGCTTTACTGGTGGCTCTGCCCACCTACATGTTCTCCATAGTTTGGCTTGCGCGGCGAACCTGCGTGACTGGAACTTTACCATCGGCAAACAGAAGAGCCACAATAGATGCATTTTGGATTAGGATTGCTTGGTTGCTCGAATGAGTTGCTCCTTTGCCCAGAAAACCACAAGCAAACTTTGTACTTTCATTCAGCTGCAGTCAACATCTATCGCCACCCGTCCGCCGGACATCTTGCTCCTGAGATCACCCACAAATCCATGCACATTTCTCACCTACGCCAGGCGCCTCAGTCGGAAGGCCCAAAACAATTCGGATTGGATCCAGCCCTTTTCTCGCCGAAATCCATGCGTTCGAAATCTGAGCGTGGGGAAGTCTCGAAGCTTCTCGGCATAAATCTTCCAAAAGCCATCGCTAATAGCCGCTAGTAGCTAGTAGGTTGGAGGCCGTGGCTATTGGGTTGGAGGCCGCTCTTAGGTACTCCAAAAGCCACCGGGTGCGCAATGAGTCGAACCATCTTTGCCCCGTTTAATGCACACGGAGTTCATGCAACTGTCATCAAAGCAACGCTGCAAAAACAGCAATCAAGCATGTGTGTGCACACGTCTGGGAAATATAGAAAATAACTCTATACAGTCACCGCCATTTGCAATCTGATGTTCACCCTTGTTTCTCGGTACCGACCAGAAAGAGACTTCACAGTACGCAAGGAACGCGACTGCTTTGCACAGTCCACATCAGGTCGTGTTCCTCCTCGAAGTCAAGACACGGCCATCTGACTTTTGCGTCTTCAAATGTGAGGGAAGTCCCGTCCCAGACCGGCCCCCTTGACTGCTGGCATTGGCAACAATCACTCACAGGATGAGAGTCCACAAATCTCAACAGTTCCCCACGTGATGGAATCAGTGAAGAAAAGCAAAGTCACGCCTTGACAACTAAGTCCCTCTGGGCTGGTTCGCGCTCTATATGTGTAAAGACTAAGCCTATCAATGTTGAATCTCGCGCAATGCAACATTGTGTAAAACCCCTGGAATTGACACAGCACCCAAACTGTTGATCTTGAAACCTTCTCATGCCTGCTATGAAGCGGTGAACATGCTGACAAGAACATACAACAACTGTATTTGGAAACCAAACATGTCCCCAAATTGCATGTGACTGTTCTCATTCCACCAAAGTGTTGCAAAGCCAGCTGTCTGTGTTGCCTGGGCAGCGCTTGTGGTCTGCACATTTGCCCAGGCCGTGGCGTCCGCCGATCTCAGCAACATGACGCAGCCGATGATTTAGAATGTAGAGGTGACTGCGACGCTTTTGTCGACAACCTGACGCTTAGTCGACAGATCATGGATGTTTGCGTAATTCTTTCAACGTGAGCCTAGATGGTGGGCACCTGCATGTTAAAGACCAGCACCTCGCTAATCGCAGCCTGACGAATTACAACCAGAAGATCTGGTCAGTGCAATGCTCATCCACATCTCCACACGACCAAGACTGCATGAAAATGCTGACAACCTCGGATGCACCAGGGTTCAATAAGAATTTATCAAGAATATGAACACCTTGGCCAAAAAAGTTGGCTGAAAACACCATTACACGTAGGTTGATGACCTCATCTCAATGCGCGTATGCCCAAACCAGCTACCCGTGCCTGAGATTCTTCATTGACCCGTTTGGCCTAAAGTGCCTTCGGCGCAATGCTGAACTACCCCATGCGAACGGCCGGTGATATTCCCTGCTTTGTAGTGCCTTTCAGGGTCAGTTTCCGGGTCATCAATTAGTTGAGCAACATTCCAATGACAGCATGCTCGTCTTGTCTGCATCGTCGAAGCGGGGCAACCACGGCGTCCCTCAAAGGCTCCAAACCATCGCTGACTGTCCTTACTGCCCAATGCCACAGCCCCAGCCAAAGTTGGGGGGCACTCTGCTTGTTTAGAGGTTGACAGGGTCAAACGCATTTCTTTAAAAGTTGAAAATTCAAGATCTGCAAATGCCCTGCAGCTAAACAAGCACGTCATCTCTTTTTCTTGGCTTGAACTTTTTTGGATTGATGATTTGTCTTGTGAATACTTTGAGACTCCAGGTGTTAACCAACAATCTCCAAGCGTCCGAAGAAAACCGTTGCGACTTCCTCTTTGCCGAAGTCCCAAAGTCTCTCGCAGCTGCGATCGTCATTGGGGATGCTGAAGCTCCAAAATACAAGAACAAACGAAGAGACCTCGCATGGCATCGGGCTGTGGCGTGCAACTAATTCAACTTTTTATATCATTCAGCCTTCTGCAATGCCTTGATCGAAGCACATCAAATGCACCAACATGTGCGAAGAACGTCTCTGACATGATCAGGATGATGTCAGAAGGCTGGGCGCAAAGTGAATCTGTGACAAGGATACCATTCAGATTGATGTTGGAGCCAAGAAGCTCAAACCTGTTCAGAATACTGCTTGGGCCCAAACACCCCGCAACTCAAGGGGCGCTTGGACGCTTCAAATAGGAAGCTAGCCATTTCGGCTTTAAACGAGCAGCCTATTCCCAGCCAGCCTCAAACTCTGGACACTGGCAGCAGGGGCCTGTGAGGAGCTTTACTTCAGCACCATGTTGACACAACCAGTGAACATCAGTCGCAAAAAGCACCAGGGAATCTGACTTTGCACATCACGGAATTTGCTTGCCATGTCCAAGCCGTCTGCTGCAGACACTATATCTTGCACGAATTAACGTTAGACTTGGACTTCGCCGTGACGGAAGAAGATCTGGACGGATATATAGTTTCAAACCGTTAGGGTTGTACAGGTGATTGCAAAAAAAGAACAACTTGCAAGCGTTATTTGTTATTTGCCTTGAAGACATCATCTGTTCACAGGGCCGGGGGACTCTCCTCGGTCTGCACCCTTGTAAGTCATGTATATTATATAAGTCATCAAACATGTTTGAGACGATGGATAAGGAACACGCAAGTCACACCAAGCAATCCTTATTGTGCTATTTAGGTTCCCAACATATTCTACCTACGACCCTTGGATCGTTGGCCACTCTGCTAGGCAAAGGACTCAGAAGTTAGTGGTATCATAAGGCTAAAACACCAATCATGTATGAGACCTCGTTGACACAAGCAAACGTCATGCAAAAGACGTATCTTCTGCACAAAGTGGACTCAAATGAAAGGACAATCTTCTGCCTTTACTCGGGGCAATGTGCTGAACCTGCATGTCCTGGTATTCTTGACTCTTGACAGTCAAAAACATCTGCTAAGTTGCAAAAGGTTCATTGCTCAGGCCCAGAACTGTGCGCTACACCGCTGACGACTTGAGAATGATTCACAACCAGAAGATCTGGTTGGTGGGGCTGGCTCGCTCACTCTGACTCTCCCGAGGCGTCGACGGGGTGGAGAACCTCGCTCTGTTATAGTGCGGCGTATCTTCACGTTCCAAAGATATACTTCTGAAACCAAGCGCCTAAAAACATCAAGAGAACGAGAACTATATTGCAAGTGGTGCAGGATGTTACTCAATAGCAGTAGCAGGAAGGTAGATGCTGAAGACATGCCAAAGCAGTTCGCTTGCAAAATCAGGATGAATGAAGTCTATATGAGCATATCCAACAGAGATATAGCAGGTGAATCTTCACTTTCCAAAGATATACTTCTCCGATTAAGCAGCTACTCGCCCGAAAACATC